AAACTATATTCAGTATATAATTCTCTGTACAATAAACAGTTTCAAATAGATTGTAAGTTTTCATTGTATTCATAATGAATGTATTTGTATAACGTATATATAGACTATTATGTATGCATAGGCCTATTGTTTATGTAATGTATGCACGGTGTAAGCATAATTGATACATGAAATGTTTATATTGTTAATCTAAGCATATCATATTTATACTATATGCATGCCATATGTATAATCTATTAAATAATGCATATAATATGCTGACTGTATATATACAGTACATGCATAATGTACTCTAAGGATTATGTATGTATAACGTGTGGTTTTCATCATAAAAATAACTTTAGTTTTAATATAGTTGATAAGTATTAACATGGTAACATCTGTGTCGTTTAATATATTTTTAATCAATATGATAAGTAATAAACATATAGATCTATTACATAATGGAAGCATACCGCTCTTTCTCTGGTGTTTTATTACTACTCTATAAAAAAAATACAGTTCATCTTTAAATACATATATATATTATTACAATTAGACATAATTCTGTTTATATAATGGTTGATTATGGTCTCGATTGATGAAAACTTATCTCAAATAGGCTTATTGAAAAGCGTAAATTTTTTGTCGGTTTCAGAATAAGAGCAAATACAAAATACAGGTGAAATGGGATTTTGACATGAATATTATGCTTCATGATATCTATCCGAAAAAGCCGTTAAAAATATACCTGGACATGATATAGAATTTGAATTTGCATAATTTACGGAAGCTCAAATACGACATGATTTTGTATTTTTGAATTTCTAATTTGAAAAAATAATTTTGAATTTGAAATTTGAATATTGAGTTTGAAATTTGAATTTCGAATTTGAAAAAATAATTTTGAATTTGAAATCTTAATTTCGAATTTGAAATTTTAATATTGAATTTGAAAAAATAATTTTGAGTTTGAAATCTTAATTTGAAAAAATAATTTTGAATTTGAAAAAATAATTTTGAATTTGAAAAAACAAGTTTGAATTTGAAATCTTACTTTCGAATTTGAAATCTTAATTTCGAATTTGAAATTTTAATATTGAATTTGAAAAAATAATTTTGAGTTTGTAAAAATAATTTCGAATTTGAAAAAATAATTTTGAATTTGAACAACTAATTTCAAATTTATTTTCTATTTCAGTCACTGGTGTATTCAAGACTATATATACTATACAAACGAGTCTGGTCACTCTGACTGAAATGGTTTCTTATGGAGACGCCAATTTTATTAAGCGACTGCATCGCCTCTTGCGGCTGAATGCCAAACTTCGGAAAGCCCATGCCCGGTCCCTTAATTGCTTTGAATAAAACTGTTTAAAACTCAAGTAATACGTCCATAAAACAATCGCGTTGGCTCCGTATGTTAGAGGCGTTTTTGCTAATCTGAAGGTCCAAGGTTCCATCCAGGCATGGGTCTAGATGATACCTTCGGATTTTTCAACCCGCTGTCCCTCTGTCAGTGATACAGGTTAGAATGGCTGCGATGAAAAGGCGTCTAGTTGTGCGGATGGGACATTAAACCGAGGGTTGTGCAAGTTGCAAATCGAAAATAAGAGTAAACTAGAACCACACGTGGCACAGAGTGGGACTTTGCAAATGTAGCAAAATGCAAAAGACCCTGAAAAAATCAACTTTCCACGATAATTAGATCAAGCGCAAGAACAGTCTAAAGTTGAGAAATTTTCATTTTTTAGAAGATTTTAATACCGGAAGTGGACGCCAGA